GAAGGTACCCCAGAACTTGCTGGTCGGTGGCTTCCCAGTCTTCATGGGCTAGGTTCGGCTCCTTCTTGGTGGCGCCATCTTTTGTGACAGCGATCTCTGCCGGCGGCCGCTTGGTTGCGCCGGTGAGATGCCCCTGAAGCCGCGCTCCTCTGACTGCGGCGCTTACTTGCACCTTCCAGAGCGCATGATTTGCCTTCCCAAGCTTCTCTGAGATTGGGTGGCCTTGGAACGGATTTGTGGCAGCCATACTGGACGACGAGGCCATGAGTATTGATCTCTTAGGGAATTGATCAACGCTCTGATACCATGTGAATTAGTTTGGGTGGAAACGATCGCACTAATCCTGTGCGTCGCCTTCGTGTTAATATATATGTGATGGGAACAGCCCCCATCGTGGCGATACAGAGTTCGGCGCAGCTGAGAACAACCGAAGCCGAGATTGATGAAACGACTGCATGTAGTAACAGAAAACAGAAAACAAACTCTAACAAACATCTGTTATCGCATGTGGAGGAAAGGCTAACCTGATCCGCATGGATAGACTAACCTAATCCAAACTAACCTCAACAACTACATGCATGCAAGCTGTCAGGTCGTGATCACATGATCCGAACCTTTCATGCTAACTAACAGAAACAACCTTTTTCAAGAAGGATTGAAGGATTTATTATTATCACCTTGTGGTCTAGCAAGTTCCTTGTTGGCCGTAGCTTCTCTGAGTCTGAAGTCAAGGCCAGGATGAATTCCATTATTTAAAATTCTAGCAAGTTACAGCATATCAAGAACCGAAACATTCCGGACTAAAATTCATAGAAAAGATGAAGCTCTTCCTCTACCATATTGGCATCTCTTTCATGACAATTTGAGCTCTCACCCTTTGATAATTTCCCCTGAAAAGCATGAGAATAATGCTTATTTTCACTCTCCGAATGACAAAAAAAGAATACACTCTACTTGGTCATGCATATATTCCTCTATAACGATTCATAAAATGATGAAGTTTGATTTGCTTGCCAACAAATCATCTACAAGGAAAAATATGCATTGTTTATTACTAGAAAATTATTACCCCCTAAATCTGGTCAACTGTTCAGTGTTCACTGTGGAAGTCTCAACTGATTTCACATGACCCAGTGGAACTGCTTGTGTTCATAAGTTCATTATGAAAGTCAGATTTATTTTAGCACAATTTCTATGTGGATTTACAGAAAGTTAATCTGATGCGGTCTACATTTATGATTAGGTTGGGTATGTGATTTGCTTTGCACATCCATGGAGATTTCATTTTCGACTTCTTTTTTACTACCAGGTATTGATGAGAAGCTACTGATGTCTTGCAGCTTCCTTTTTTACTACCTGTTTATTTACTTTCTTTCCGATTTTAGGACTGCTGTATGGTGTTCCTTCATGGTGTCAACTGTCAAGCTGGCCTCCCACAAACTGTCAAAATCACTTTGTTTCATGTGGTAGTTTGTTTCGTGGATGTTTGTTTTCAGCGATTTCTGTGACTCTGTCTGGATAATGCAAAGTTCGTATCAACACGTACTCGTTTTCTTTTCTTGAGATGAATACACAAAAGTTGTTGCTCACGTGGAAGTTATATTTATAAATCTGGCTTCAAAAGTATTATCGCAAAAACACGATTTCACGAGAGGGAGTAGGAAAAAGTCCATTTTAACTTCCTCAACTATAGCCGCAGTTCGATTCATCACCACATATAGAAGCTTCCTTAGGTATTAAAACCAGTTTATTTTTCCTCCTCAAGCGGTTTCGACGATGATTTTGTCGTATGTGGGGTTCATTTTACCTCAAGCGATATGTTATTACAATAATAAAAAAAGAGTTGTTGGCCCCACATGTCAATGGGACTTTTTCTCCTCTTTCCCCCATCACATGTCTCCTCTTTTTCATCTTTGCCTGCTCCACGCCGGAGCTTGCTATCCCCACTGGTAGGGTCGAACTCTACTCCTTCATGGTGGCATCGGGCTCTACGAAGGCATGGATCGATCCTAACTAACGTCAATGCTATGGATCGATGGAGTGGACTGTTGACACGTGGTTGGTGACGAGCCGGGAGAAGAAGGTTGCTTCATCGCTGTAGGTGCCGGTGAGGTTTTTGCGTTGAGTATTGCTTCGTCGCCGCAATACTCAAGCTTGACAAGGCGGGCACTAGGAGCTTGAGCTTGTCACACGGGCTCACACCTAATGGGGCCAATGGACTGGTGGCTGAGGTGGTCTAGATGGCCGTGGTGGATGGAACCCAGTGACCGGTGCAGAGAGGTAATGGTAACCACCTGCTCCATATCCCTCCTCTCTATATCTGTATAGCTGGTCCTCTCTCTCTCCCTCCGATCTCTCCAACTAGATCGAATCACTTCCACTCATCGAGCGTGTGCATGGATGTAGGGATCAGCTCGGCACTACCATCAATGGCCACTGTCCCAACACCGTTGTTGCCCTTTCGGTCACCAAGCCTGAGGCCTGAGGGAGCCACCATCTGCACGTACCCACCACCCCCCATCCCCTCGGTGACGCTCCTCGCGACGTCGTCCCGACCATCGGAATACCACGTAAGCATGCACCACGTAGCTGCCACGTAACACAAGGATAGGGAGGTCAATTGGGCCGGTTTTAATAGTTAGGAAAGTCTTCATATATGGTTTTATGGTTAAAAAACGTGAACCAAATGACCTTTTCCTGAGGGAGTAACTCGTTTTGATTGCATGGCTCACATGGTGCTTGCTTGCTTTAGATGTGAGGTCCACATTGCTACGGCCCACTAGGGGTGGTAATGGGTCAAGGCTCATGGATCCTTTCACAACTCACCTCAACTCTTTAATATTTATAGAAAAAAAATAGTACTCCCTCCGTCCTAAAATATGATAACATTGTACGGGATAGGACACATCATAGTACCCCTATCCAGATTTATTGTATTAGTATGTGTCCCATCCAGTATAAAATTGCTATATTTTGGAACGGAGGGAGTTTTAAATTTCAGCTCAACCATTTTTACCCAACCCTCACATTTTGTTTGTCAAGATGTTGGGCTCATTACCACCCTTAATTATAGCCAAGATGAGTTTTGCCTCATAGATGAGTCACTGACCAGTGGGGCCAGTTCATACCCACACCGTTTCAGGCATCCATCACCGGGTTTTTAGGACTATTTGCCACTCTCCCAGATAACTTCGCTATTTTGCCATCGGAGAGAGAAGATTTCTTGCTCGTGTGCCATTTTTGAGCCCGCAAAGCGTAATGTCACCTAATCCGAGGGTAAAATGACCGTTTTGCCCTTCTTCTTCCTCTAGCTCGGGGTCTCTCTCCTCCAACCTTCCTCCCTACGTGTGAGCTGGTGACACCGCCACCACCGCCGCCGGACCAACCTCCTAGCGCTAGGTGGCGAACGACTTGACGTCGTGGGAGAGTGGAGAAGAGCCGAGAGGAGGAGGCAGGCAACGACGATGACGATGGAGCAAGACACCGATGATGCCACAAAAGAAAGAGCGGAGCGAAGGAGGGAAGAGTGCAAGGCAAGGAGCTCACCGGAGCCCAATAACCTCGGCGCCTTGGGAAAGGAAGGGGATGAAAGAGACGGGAGGAGAAATGAAGAAGAAGGGCAAGATGGTCATTTTATCCTTAGATTGGGTGACTTGGCGCCTTGCGGGCTCAAAAATAGCACACGAGTAAGAAATCTTCTCTCTCTAATGGCAAAATAGCGAAGTCATCCGAGAGAGTGGCATTTGAGAACACGAAAACCCCTCCATCACCATCAGAACGGAGAAATCTCAAACGGTGGTTTATCTCCGGCGCCGCCGCCGCCGCCGCCGCCATGGCTCTCGCTCTCCGAGCTCTCCCCCGCCGCCTCCTTCGCCATCCTCTCCTCCACTCCATGCCCCTCTCCTCCTCGCCTCCCGACCCCCGCGAGCTCCTCCGCATCGAGCGCATCCTCTCCACCCCCACCTCCTCCTCCACCCCACCCCCGCAACGCCAAGAAGGCCCACGACCCGCCGCCACCTCCAGCCTCCACGAGACCGCCGGCCCCACCGCCGCGGAGTCCGCCTCCCTCCTCCGCCGCGGCCTCCCCACCAGCTCGAAGCTGCCGCACCACCACCACCACCACCGCCACCGCCAACTCCGCGACGAGCTCCGCGGCCTGCGCCTCGGGGAGCGCGAGATCAGGGCCGCCCTCGCGTCCGACGCGGAGGGCCTCCTCCTCTCCATGTCCCCCGGGGAGCCGACCCGCCTCGTGGGGCTCGTCCGCGACGAGCTCCGGTGCCGGGCCGCCGTCAGGGACCGGGTCCTCGCGGGCGGCGCGCTCGCCGCCGCCGTGGCGGCGCGGCGGCGGGTGGAGCTCCTGCACGCGCGCGGGCTGACACGGCGCGACGCGCTGCGCGTCCTCGCCGCCGAGCCGCGGGCGATCCTGTACGGCCTGGAGGATGTGGAGAGGAAGGTGGATTTCTTGGTGAGCAGGATGGGGTTCGAGATTGGGTGGCTGGTGGAGTTCCCGGAGTTCTTGGGGGTGAACCTCGAGCGGCGGATCGTCCCGCGGCACAATGTGGTGGAGCACCTGCGGTCAATCGGCGGGCTCGGTGACCCAATTGAGATGAAGCATTATGTGAGGTTCAGTCGCCAGAGGTTCTACAATATGTTTGTGAAGCCGTATCCGGAGTGCGAGAGGATTTTCGGGGGAATTGTTAGGGAGAAGGGGAAGGAGGTGAGGCGGTGGCGGCATCCTGTTGGGCTGTGGAAGCTGTTTAAGCCGGTGAAGTATGAGAGTACGGAGGAGGATGTCAATAATATGAAAATGGTGATGAAATCACTTCATTAGTTCTCGCCTGGCTGGCCTGGATGAAACCAATTTGGACCAATTTTGAATTGGTTTGCTCTTGATTAAGGGGTATTGTGGAAGTGACATGTTCAATTGAGATGTTGTGTGAGAACAAAATTGCAGTTGTGCTGAAAAGACATGAAGCTGGTTCTCTTAAACATGGGTTTGCAAAACATCCCCCACCCGCTCCCTCCCCCCACCCAAACCTTTCTGAAGAGCTGCAATTTAATCTATGTCTCTATCATGTTGCTTTAACTGGAGACAAAAAATAAATGACATGCTTATGAGAGCTGGCACCTTATGAAAGGATTATCTCAATCTGTCAATAATATAGAGCTAACAGTAGTTATTTGTGAACCAATTCCACTGCAAGGGTTTGTGCATTACATTTCCTACAGAGTATTCCACAATGTTCTCTTGCGTATGCTTGGTTAGTTTTACACTTAATAGTAAATTTGACTGTTTTTTTATGTGAATTAGCTTCTTGTTTAAGGTTAATGTGAACTTTATACAAATTTGTGTATACTAGTTCATCATTGTTTGCAAGAGCTGCTTTTTCATTCATCTTCTTCCGTTGTATCCAACTGAGTTATGCACAGTATATCTAAATTTCTGTACCTCTATACGGAAGTAATTAACAAAATTACCAATTAACCATAGTGCAATACCGATACATCGCACACTATGGGAGCGCAGTTAGAAATTGTCTTACCTAATTGCATATGCTTCGGTGGAATATGACTCGGATCTGGCAAAAGATGACAGCACACAGAGAAAAAATCTTGACAGTACAATTTTGGTCATTTACCTTTCGGTATCTTTTTTGGAGCAAGAGAAATCAGATTTACCTACATCAGTGATACAGTTCATCTATCTTTTCCCCTAATATCAACACAATATTATTTGGTGCCTTTTAGGTCCTTGAGAATATTTTCAGGTTACATCTAGAAGTTAATTTTTCTTTGATTTAAGAAGTGAGAAAGATGTTTAGCTATTACTAATATGCCGGTAGGCCTTTTGCATTGTCAATGCCCTATTGTTGTGGAGATTTTGATTTAGGTGCAGTTTTACTTTTTCCATAAGACATTCATTTTCTGAATGCTTGGTGCTGAACCCACCACTAGCATATTCAATGAAGAAAATAAGTTGGTAGGTACTGAAAATGACTAGTACTAACTTTACATGCATGATGCAGCAGCTTCAGGATAAGAAATACCCTTTTTTTTCCCTCAAAGGTACAAATAATGGAAATGGTTTGTCTGATCAACCAAAGTGTTGTAGTAGAATAGTCAATAACAAAAGAAGTTCCACCACAGTAGTCACCATGTCATAAACCAGTGATTTTGTGGTATACTGTTGCACTGAGGCGCTGTAGTGGGGCTGTAACACTGTGGCACATGTACTCATACTCAAGGCATATAAGAATTTTAATCACCAAGATTCGGTGTCTTTATTCTCTATATTTAATTTATTAAGAGAAAGCATACCTGCTATTTTGCTACGAAAGAGAGCTCCCTTTGAACTGCCAGAGGCATGTCATGTGTGCACACAATTCTTAGTCTCAGTTGAAAAATGTTTCCTTCACTTCACTTGCAAGAAAGTGGATCATGGAAAAAGTAAAGGGAATAGTTGGACTTTGATTGATGGGCTACACATCATCGTGGACAACTTTTGAGCAAAGAATTTTAATCCATGATAAGCTGCTATATAAGACCAATGAATTCACTGTCCTATGCAAACATCACAGAAATTAGAGAAGCAACTATATATGCACAGGACATCGTAGGAGGATGAGGAATTTATCTTTGCCATATATAGTCATGGTGCTTTTGGTTTCGTGTTGTTTCATTCATGTATCAAGTAGTGAACCTCCCCATGGCAATATTCTCAAACTCTATCCCATGTCATAGTGAATATGGATCTTAATCTCTTCTTAATTCTGGTGGTTTGTTTTGCCATTCATAGGTCTAAGAGTGCTACAGGAAAGCAAAGCAACTCCAACCTCTGATGCAACGACTGAGGTAATACAGGTTTTTTGTTTTCAGAACTCAGATCATGCATTAGATGTGCTATCTATCCTCGTTTTTGCTCAGTTTATTCAAAGAGATGCTAGCTGCTTGTTCTCGCTGCAGCTTTTAAGTTGTGTAAACCAGTCTATATATAGATGCTATTCTCCCTCATGTTTCAATTTTGATTCATGGGTCCTATTTATTTGATTTCTGAGATAATTTATAGTTTATACAGCAGTTTGAAGTAGATTCGAAAACCTTTTATGTGATGCTATATATAATGTATAAGATCTTGGAGACTATCTGATCAGCTATATATACATGGAAAAACCGCCCTGGTTTTTGTTCAGTCTGTTTATCTGAATCTGACAACACTGCTGAATTGATGATCTTTTGAAAACGTTCAGGCTATCGATTTTGAAGAATCGGAATTCACCCGTAGTGGAAGTATGGGGTTTGAGCTCAATGATTACCCTGGTTCTGGTGCAAACAACCGCCATTCGCCACACTCTGAGGGCAATAGATGAAGGGACAAACAGCTGAACAATGGATTTGTGATCAACGTTATAATTTGCCAGTCTCTCCAGTCTCCAGTCTCCAGTTCACATGTTCTTGCATGGAAAAGCATAAGAAAACTTGAACAGATGACTGAGATGACAAAGGAAGAGTGCCATACTGCCAAGGTTGTAGTGCCATAATGCCATTTATAGATCGAAAATAATTTGGGAGTACTCCCTAACTTGTATAGACATCAATCTGACGTGAGTAATAATAAACAAGGGTGCAATTTTTTTTTTTTGGGTCTATGAGTGCTGGATAAATTATCAAGCATGCACAAAAAAAAAAGGGCTTGCTGATGTTTGTAATCTTGGAATCTAATGTGTGCTGTTGTAATACTCATTTCTCCTTGACATGTTAAACGAGATCTATGAGAATCATAATTTTATTTAAGCCTTCATGAAACCATTACGAAATAAGATTCTTTTTTTTTTTGGAGATACACAAATACACAATAACTTTTTGAAGTGTCAATTTCAGAAAAAGAAAGCCATATTTTATTTTTCATACTATTTTACACAATTTTAACATTTGTCATCATATCCAACAGATTGAATAATCCACCTACTGGATGTATTCAATAACAATATGCCTTATTGTTTTTGCTCGAGGAAAATTGATATTTAAATATATTTAAATATTTATACTTCCTCCAATCCATAATATAAGACGTGCACGCATTATAAGATTTGACTAAAATATTTGACCCATAATTAGTACAATATAAATTAAAATTTTATTTGCTGAAGATATTATCATTGAATTGATATTTGAAATTAATATTTTTTTTTGCTATAAACCTTTGAGAAATCATAAGCCAAAGATTATTTTTGAGACCGTATCAAATTTTACAGTGTAGAAGAGCAAAATCCCCTCGCGCGCACACGCGCTCCACCTCCATGCCGCAAAGCCATTTGGCGGCGGCGGCGGCGAGACGCGGGCGCGAACTCCGTCCTCGATGCCGGCGCCGCCCCCGCTCCCTGCGCTCCTGACCGGCCTCGCCCGCCGCGGCGCGACGTCCCCGGCGGCGGCGGCGGCGAGGCAGCTGCACGCGCACCTCCTCATCCGCGGCCTCCCGCTGCCCGCCCGCGCCGCCGTCGCGCTCGTCGCGTCGTCGTCCTCGCCGCGCCACGCCCGCGCCGTCTTCGACAGCGTACCCGCCGCCTCGGCCAACGTGTACCTATGGACGGCCACCATCTCCGCCTACGCGAGGCACGCCTCGTCGTCCTCCTCGCACGCCCTCGAGGTCGCGGGAGAGGCGGTCGCGCTGTTCGCGCTCATGCTCTGGTCGGGCCCGCGGCCGAACGCCTTCACCGTGACCTCCGTGATCAAGTGCTGCTCGAAGGTGCGAGCCGTCCATGAGGGTCTCCAGGTGCACGCGTTCTTGGCGAAGGCCGGGCTGGGCTGCTCCTCCGTGCACGTGGGCGCTGCGTTGCTCGATCTGTACGGGAATATTGGCCTGGTGGGAGATGCAAGGAGGGTGTTCGACGAAATGCCCGTGAAGAACGTGGTGGTCGGGAACACTATGGTGGCGTGCAATGTAAGGGCCGGTGATATGGGAGCCGCGCGAGAGGTGTTTGATGGGATGGCAGAGAGGGACCCAATCTCGTGGAATACACTCATGTCCGGTTATCTGCATTTGGGGGATACTGCCACTGTGAGGGAATTGTTTGATGAGATGACAGTGAGGAATGTGAATAGCTGGAACACGATGATTGCCGCATGTTCGGAGGAAGGATCGTTGGCTGATACAGTCAAGGTTTTCAATAGGATGCGTGCGACAGGGTTCGAGCCTGATGCTGCGACGATGGCTGTTTTGATGTCTGCGTGCGCACAGCTTGGTTCTTTGACAATTGCAGGGCAAGTGCATGGACTTTTACAGAAGAGTTGTGTTGAGATGAATTGCCATGTCCAGAATTCGTTGATTGACATGTATGCCAAGTGCGGTTGCATCAGCCAAGCTCAATTCTTGTTTACTGAGACATATCCAAAGGATACAGTGTCTTATAATGTGATGATCATTGCTTTTGCGCAACATGGACATGCAAGAGATGCATTGGATCTTTTCAATGCGATGGTTGACTCTGGGTTGCAACCTGATGCCGTCACATTTCTTGGCGTACTATCAGCTTGTGCTCATGCCGGGCTAGTGGAATACGGAAAGAACTACTTTGAATTGATGAAAACCACATATGCAGTTCAGCAATCCCCAGACCACTACGCTTGTGTGGTTGATCTATATGGTCGAGCTGGGCTCATTGAAGAAGCGCACTGTTTCGTGAAGACAATGCCAGTGAAACCACATGCAGGTGTGTGGGGAGCATTGCTCAATGCCTGCAGGAAGCATTGCCATGTTGATGTCGGTGAGATTGCAGCGAAGGAACTCATCAGGATTGAACCCAAGAATCCTGGCAACTATGTTCTCCTCAGAAACACCCTAGCTCGAGGCCAGCAATGGGATGCTGTTGAGGATGTGCAGCTATCGATGAGGAGAAAGGTTATTGACAAAACAGCAGGGTGCAGCTGGGTTGAAGTGGATAGTGTTGTTCATGAGTTCTTAGCAGGAGACTTCTACCATCCCAAATTTGATGAGATTTATACTATCCTGGAGCACCTGTATATGGAACTGACATAAGGTTTATGATATGGAAGATACATATCTGGATGAAGAGGATCTGTGCATTGTAACGAGAAATTATACCTGCACAAAATATTATAACGATACTATCAGAGACGTAGAGGTAATGCAAATTGCAGACTTATTGACAAGCAGAGAAGTATAGTAACAAATTGTTTGTCCACTCCATGCACAATGCAGACTTCCAGTCATTTGCATCTTAACGGATTGTGTGCTGAGGATGTTCAGGGGTGCCCGGTTTCCTCATTGCTACATTTGGAAGGAAAGGCATTACTTGATAGTTCCAGAATGGTGTGATGATATTCTTGTTACTAACAGCTGTTGCTGTCAGATTGTCACATTGGATGTCAAAAGAATATCAAATCTGCTTTCAAGGTATGTTTGATTTTTATGGCACTTATGGGTGTCAAATCCATTTCCTTTGCATTGTTTTATCAAATCTAAGTGATAAATTTCCTCATTCACTCCAAAAATGGTTCACAGCTTAAACTGAGGAAGTTACTGCCATATTTCCCAGAGGCTGGAGAGACCCCTGCACTCAAGGGGGCCATCACCACACAGTTGGTGCTGAATACTAAGAACACAGGCTTCTTGCTGCATATGGATTATGAAATATGATATGCTTGGGGTTGAGCCTCTGCTCTGCCGCTTTCCTGGGTCACCAAGCCAGCCTCTCCAACTATTCTGCTTCTGGACTGGACGACTTTGGTTCCTTTGACTTGTTCACACAGACATGCGACACGTTTTGGATACCCATCTTCGATGTAGGGTAAGTGCCATCTAAATATCGGTATGTTACCTGGATAATTACACCCAAACATTGTGTGCATTGTGTCTAACAGATAATGATCATTACTTATTCTGCAGCTCAGGCATTTCATCCGAGGCACTCCTCAATGTAGTCGAGAACAAGGTGTGTTTGGTAACTTTGGCAGATAGGCACCAAGCAAATAAAAATTTTGGGAATATTTTGAATTATTTGGATGATAGGAAAAATATCGAAAATCAAGACAGAAGGAGAAAGCATGAGGTCTTACCTTACGTTTGCTTTTTTGTAAAAATTCATACGAAACAAGCTGTTCCACAGGGATTTAATTGTATATGTTCTTTTGGACTTCAGTGGAATATTCTTATGGATTTAAAATTTCAAATACTCCACTTCTTTATTTTTTTTCTTTTTGAAAATTTTCCTTGTTTCAGAAGGGTTTTAGGGTTTAGTGTTCCATGCACAATACGGACTCCCAGTGCTGTGGATGTTCAGGCCTTTAGGGGTGCATGGTTTCATCATTGCTATATTTTTCTTTAATAGAACACATCAGGGGAGGTCCCCACGGTAGGGAAACTTATTGATAAGAATAATAGAAAATAATTACTACCCCCGTTTCAGGCTATAAGACGTTTTGACTTTAGTTAAAGTCAAACTGCTTTAAGTTTAACTAAGTTTGTAGAAAAAATAATAACATTTTCATCCCAAGACAAATTTATTATGAAAATATATTCAATTATTGATTTAATAAAACTAATTTATTATTATAAATATTATTATATTTGTCTATAAACTTAGTCAAATTTAAAGTAGTTTGACTTTGACCAAAGTCAAAACGTCTTGTAACCTGAAACTGAGGGAGTACAACAAAAGTGGTGAGGTTGTATTGCTCTGAAGTTTAGTGCATAGAAATTTTTAGAAGTATATCTAGTATTGCCCCATATGTAGTTCCATTGATCACAATCATGTCCCACATTCACCTCATTTATCAATTCCCTCAAATTTAAGAAATCTGCATGAGGTTGTTGTGATAGAGACAGTTGAAAATTGTCTTCAAGATTAGATAGTATAAAGCTTTTCACAGAAACATTTCCATCAACAGCAAATGATCGAAGAGTCTTAGGAACTGAAAATAGATTGGGGGTCCATCCAACCAGACATCCTCCCATTTAGAATTTGGTAATACCATGTCCAATTGAGCACCTTGCAATCCCTCTGAAATAATCCATCAATTTGGAAACATCTTTACACCGAAAAGAGCCTTTGGAAGTATCATCATTGCTACATTTGGAAGGGAAGGGGTTGTGACTTGTGACTGTGAGTCATTGCTTGATAGTTCCAGAATGGTATGTGATGGCAGGATATTCAATAGTCTTATTACTATCAGCTCTTGTTCTTGCTGTAAGATTGTCACATTGGACTTCAAATGAGAATATCAAATCTTATTTCAAGGTATGCTTGATTTTTTTTGGTCACTTATGGGTGCAATAAATCCATTCCCTTCACATTGTTTTACCGAATCCAGTGATAAATTTCCTCATTCCCTCCAAAAATGGTTCTTAGGCCACAATACGGAAAAAAACTAATCTTATGCAAATTAAATGCATGCTTATCACTTGGCTCTGTATTTGGACCCTCTTTGAGTTGTTCATCTCTTCTTCTATTATGGGTAAATCACCTAGAGGTAGAATTTGTGAGAGCTAGGTGTTTCTTTTTCTTATAAATAATTGAAGGGAGATGAAATTTTGTTTTGTTCCTTCTTTTGTTCTTGTAAGAATCGGCATTTAGAGACGGCAAGCTTCATGTGTAATGCAGAATCAAGACCTACGTTTACGCTGCCCTTTGCCCAGATCATAAAACGAACTTATTATGTAGAATGTGTTTTATACTCAGTTTATTATATACCACTGTCTGACATGCATGATGCATTCTGACAAAGTCATCAGCTCCATGGGTAAGTATATAGATATTCATAGAGAAATAAACAAAGGCAATTACACATCGGGCGCCTGATCCAGGGTGAAAAATCGGGCGTCCACGTCATGCTGACGTCAGCAAGATGCATACGTGCAAAAACACTTTAAACTATTTTTTCTCTTAAATTATTTATCCAAATCATGATCCGATTGCACCATTAAATTCGTTGCAATTAAATCTTTAAAAACAAGACCACACATGGATATATTCCGACGAAAAAAAATTAGCTTATTATTGAATTATTTTTAAATGTTGCACGTTGTTTCACCAAGTATATCGGAATTGTTTCACTAAGTAGATCGAAAATGTTTCAATCATTTAAATCAGGCGTTGTTTCATCTTATATAAAAATAATGTTTCAACAAATAGTGAAAAAATGTTTCAGTTCACTGCAACATTTGATCTATATATAGTGAAACATTATAATTACAAAACATTTTTTGTGAAACAAAAAATGAAACGAATTTCTTTAATAGAGGGTTTCCATAATATGCGGGTGATTTGTTAAAAAGAATGTTTCAACTCACTGGAACATTAGATCTATACATAGTGAAACATTTTTTTGGAAAAAAAAAGAAACAAATTCTCTTAATGTAGGGTTTCCAAAATATGCGGGTGATTTGTTGCAACGGAGTATGTGGTGGAGACATGTAGCAGGTGGGGGCAGGGACATGTGGTGGGGCCAGGAGCACGTGCACACGTCTTTTTTTTTTTTTTTGGGGGGGGGGGGGGGAGCGCCCCCCGGCTCCGGCGGTCGCCTGAGCGGCAGGATGTCCGGAAATAAACATCAGAGAAATACACATATACTTTAAATTTTAGTACACACATAACTTTCTAAATAACGCAACTATATAATAGTAAGATCATTGACTAGTTTGCTTCTTCTAGTGAGTAGTGACTACCAAAACAAGAAGCCACCGTTCCTGGGCCATGGCGAGAGGGGCATCAAATAGCATTGCACACATTCACTATGAAACATTGCACACATTCTATACATTGGGCATCAAACATTAATACTTCTTCCAGATCGTTTAGTCTGCAGCTAAATAGCTTTGCACACATTCCCTATGAAACATGTTAATATTAGTTTTCATGGAAATTGTATAGTTGGCGTATGGTAGTATATCTTTCTAGAACACTCTCTATAGTTGATTTTGTTCATGACATAAACAAGAGCTCCTATCTGAAAATAGAAGTAGAATTACTTCAAGTAATTAACTTGATACAAATAGAGGTGCCTAACAAGTTTTGTCTAGCATAGTTTTAGTAATTAACTTGATACAAATAGAGGTGCCTAACAAGTTTTGTCTAGCATAGTTTTCTTACTATTACTTAACGCGCTTCGCAAGCCACTATATTTTCCGCTAGGAATAGTTGGCATTTCTCGTGACGTGTTGAATAAATTTATCATTGGAACTGAAATTCTGAAAAAAAAAGTTATGTCATAGAGACAAAGATTGCTCTATTTGGGCCTCCGATCTCGTTGTTTTTCTTTTGGGCTTAGTACTTTTCGTTCCTTTCCTTTTCTAGATAGATGCACGGTGAATCTGGGTAGAGAGCATCTAGAGATTATATATAAGCTTCACAGGCCATATCAATGTTTTGTTTCTTCATTTTTTATTGCGAAATGTTTCTTTATTTTTTTAAAATTATAAAATTTATTTATGCAAAGTTTATATATCGAAAATTTATACATTTAAAGTTTATACAATAACAACTTGTGTATATATTTTTTCGCAAAATCTGTTTTTGCTTCTTCGGAGAACCAATTTTGTAATAAAACTATACAAACATAATAGTGGTGATAGTGATTTAAACTATAAAATCTGTAGCTCTGTGATAAATTCAATATTAAATACATAGGTTTGTGATAGTTTGGTCAGCGTATCTCATATGTAGTAGTTTTGTGAAATTCACCTTTTCTTTTCTCAAATTTATGTTTTATAAATAAATTCATTCCTAGAAACCCACGGAGATGGTTTGGGCCCACGTGCGCTGGGGCCTAGCCTGGCCTAGCTAGCTGGGAGTGAGAGTGATCCGGGAGGCGGGAGTGACGGGGGAGCGGCGCGCGCGCGTGAACGCCGGTCGATTGTCACCGCCGTTGCCGCAAGCGCGCACCACGCAGCTGCTAGCTTCGTCCTTGCACGCTGACGCACGCGCGATCGAGCTGCCGCCACCGCAGCAGCAAACCCCCACACCTGAGATCGAGCTCGCGCGCGCGCTCAACCAAGCTTGTTGCCAGCTGCCACCGCCGCGGATCGATCACTCCTGCTCGACCCTGATCGACCTCCATATCTTCATCGTCTTCGAGCTCGAGCAGCCTCGTCGACTGCAGCTAGCCAAAAAGGTAACTAATGAGACCGCCTTAACCCTCCTCTTCCTCCTCGGTTTCTCTCGCCGTCGCCGGCCGGACATGAAACGTTAATTAGCTCGGCCGCCGGAGAGAAATCGCCAAGTTCACCGGCCGCCGTACGTAGCGTAGCTTCTCCTCATTCAAAACTGAAGTTAATTATACCTTCGAGTTCACCATGCCACGTTCTACAAAACCCACACAACTTCCTCGATCGCCATGATCGATTGCCGCTGGAACCTCGCCGTGCGAGTGCGACGCGACCCCCCCCACCGCCGCCGCATCCCTGGTTTGGCAGCGCTGCCTCGCGCATCCCTTGCCCGAGCCCGCCGCCACGCAAGATTACTACCGGAGTCGCCGCACGCCACTGTGCTGCCGGAACTGGCCTCTCTCTCCATTCCATGGCCTGCTCCGCCACCGGCGCCGATGAACCGCCGCCATGCCCTGTTCGACCAGAAGAAAAAAACAGCAGTTATGTGATAAAATAAGTAAGGAGCTGTGGTTACGTGTTACACTGGCCGCAAAATATATGAGTTTTCTAAAATTCACTAATTTATTATTATTTCAAAATTTACTCATTTATTATTATCATCAGTTCTACTTCGTTTCTGCTCAACAGTTGTGCAAAATAAAATTTAATATATACTTTAAAAATCATTGTTGCAGGATATGAGTCGCTTTTACCATTCGGACTTCTTCAGCGGCCTGCATGGATTGTGTTCGTTTGCATTATGGGTATCGTAGTGGGTTCTGTACTGATCTTTGCAGCCTTCTTCTTTCTTCGGTGCCTTTCACGCTATATCCGTGTACTGTGTCTGCGGTTTGCTGTTGTTTCTTATCCACCGGAGGGGGCAACGTACGAGGACGGCGACGTGCATACCTTGTGCACAGTTCCAGGTGAAGCCGCGTCATCAAACAAAATTCGATTAATTGACACCTCCATCCAACAGCGATCTGGTTTTCTAAGCTATCTGAAGTTCTGAACACTGACAGATCAAGCCCAAGAACAGTGCAGCTCTCATATATAGAATAGAAGCCCAGCCATCACCTATCGACGTAC